CAGCAGTGTTCCTGTCTGCCTCAAAACAACAAGGATCATCCCAGTGCTCAAGAAGTCAAGAAGTTCTGTAGCACTCATTCTTCTCATTATCAAGTGCTTCCAGAAGTTGGTACTGGGACACAGGAAGGCCCACCTCTCGGAACAACTTGATTCACTGCAGTTTGCATATTGTTCCAACCAGACAACAGATGATGCCATCTCAACTGCTCTCCTCCTCATCCTCTCTCAACTGGACAAAAATGACAGCTACGTCAGAATGCGGTTCATAGATTTCAGCTCAGCATTCGATACAATTATTCCACAGAGAATGATAGAGAAACTTGACCTACTGGGCATGAACACCTCACTTTGTAACTGGATACTCTACTTCCCAAACCTCAGTTTGTCAGTATAGGAACCAACACCTCCAGGACCATCAGCCTGAGCACTGGATCCCCCCAGGGATACATGCTCAGTCCACTGCTGTTCACCCTGCTGACACATAACTGTGTTACTCAGTACAGCTCAAACCACATCATTAAGTTTGCAGATGACACAACAGTGGTGGCACTCATAAGTAGCAACGATGAGTCTGCATACAGAGAGGAGGTCAGACAACTGGTGGACTGGTACCAAGACAGCAACCTGACCCTGAATGTTGATAAGAAAAAGGAGATGGTTATCGACTTCAGGAGGAACCCCACCCCACACACTCCACTTCACATAAGCAGATGATGGACAACCTCAGCTGAACTCTCAACACCATCACCAATGAAGATGGAGTGATAATGTTTGCAACTTATTTTCTAGGCTAGTTTATGTATATGGCCATATGTAATTTACTTTCTAATCATTGAGAAAGGGGCAGGAGAAGAAGGTTTATCTTCTTCCTGTTCCCCTTTTCACTTATGGATTGTTTGTAATGAACAGTATGTGTTTGTAGTTTAACGGTGTTATTGGAAAAATTGACTAAGTGGAATAAATTGATATTGATTGATTGATTGATTGAAGAAAGCTCAGCAGCGCATCCACTTCCTGCAGAGGCTACGAAACGCCAGCCTTCCCCCTGCCATCCTTACCAACTTCTACCTGGGGAACATCGACAGCATCCTTTGCAACTGCATCACTTTCTGGTTTGGGAACTGCAACAGTGCTGACCAAATGTCTTTGCAGAGTATAATGAGAAGATCACTGTCCCCCTCCCACCTCTCACAGAACTGTACAAGAAACACTGCATCTGCCATGCAGTCAATATTGTTTCAGATCCCAAACACCCCTCACGTGGACTGTTCTCCTCCCTGCTGTGTTTCTACTGTACTCTTTAAACGGGTTTATACTGTCTTTTTTTATCTTATTTATCTTAGTTATTCTGCTCACATTGTATTTCATGCTGCTACTGTTTTTATACTGTTTCAGTTTTTATTTGCTGCTATTATTCCAAAGCTAATTCTCGACCTCCTACCCATTCATTGCACTATTTGCTGTTTGTCCTTTGCTGATGCGCTTCAGTGTTGCAATAGTTTGTGTGATTGTCTTGTCTGACTTTGCACTGTCATGTCATAGCTGCACTTTATTTCTGTGCTGCGTCATTAATTGTCACACCATTTCCTCCTAGAGAAACACAATTTCAACCCTCTGTGACCAGTATATGGCTGGGCTGACAATAAACATTTCTGAGTCTAGAGTCTTGTTTTTCTGCTTCCTACACAGGGAACCTGATTCAGGTACATGATATAATGAAAGAAGAAGACTATGTTGACATTTTAAAGGATAATTTGAAGGGATCTACTGCTAGTCTGGCTTNGGATCATTGCTGGGTCTTTCAGAAAGATGGTGACTCAAAGCACACGTCACAGTTGGTCCTGAACTTTTTGAGGGACATCAAAATCAAGGTCTTGGAGTAGCCATCTCAAAGCCCAGATCTCAATCCTATTGAGAATATTTGGCGAGAGCTCAGGTTTAAGGTCCACGCTCAAAAACCATCTAATTTGCAAACAATTATAAAAACCATCTGCATTGCTGGAGTAATTTGCTATGGAAGAATAGTCGAAGATTCCTCAGGAGACTTTTGCAAACCTTGTGAGAAACTACAGTAAAAGGCTGGTATCAGTTGTGAGTCAGAAGGGCTATACTATTAACTATTAATTCTCAGAGGGCTAATCATTTTGGCCATAAAAAATTTTCATCAAACTTCTTGGAAATTGTGTCTTTTGGAAGCAATTCTCATAAATACTTTAAATACATTGGTACCTCAGAACTCGAACTTAATCCGTTCAGAACTCCGGATCGAATCCTAAAAAGTTCAAGATCTGATCGAATTTTCCCCATAAGAAATAATGGAAAACCAATTAATTGGTTCCCGGCAACAAAAAAATTACACCTAAATATGTTTTTTTTTTAGCATTTAAACACAAAATGAAACGGATAAAACAAGAAGAGCATATACTGTACTAAACACATCTAAGCACATTTATCAAAACAGTCATTTGTAAAGTAAATGTATCCAAACAATATGTAAAGTAAAAAAAAAACAATGTGTCCTGCCCCAATCGTCCGCTCCTTCTGCATGCCACGTCCCCTCGTTAACCCCGTGTGGAATCCCTGTGTGATCAGCTGTTTCTGGCTGTTGTCATTAGCCCTCTGTATTTCATCCGCGTTTCAGTTTGCTTCCCCACTCCGGTCATTGTATTGTCCATCTGCGTTTTTCCTGCCTTACCTGTAATTAAACCCCGTATTCCCCGATACCCTGATGTCTGTGCCTTTGTCTCCGTTCCGTCCCCGCTCGGCACGACAATATTATTATAATTAAATGTATTAATGGTTTATTATTAATATTAAAATAATGAATAAGAAATCTTTATTTTTAAATGTATTTTATTATATAATAATAATCACTGTTACTGTTTATCATTGTCTAAATGTATTTTTACTGTCTAAATATATGTATTAAGCTACTGTAAACATGCACGATGCTATCACAGCGAATGCGAGGTTGAGACTGAAGCTTTATCCTTTGTTTCCGCTGACAGACATGCCATGTGACTCATTTCCCCGCGCATACAAGTTATCTTAGGTCGGCGTTCACGGTTTGACTTCTGAGATTCAGATCGAGCTCTAGGTAATTTTTTTTCGAACTGGTTGGTTCGACTTTTAAGAAATTTGAGTTCTAATGAGTTCAAGAACTGAGGTACCACTGTACTAATAATTTTTTTTAGAAAAATGTATGGTTTAGTTCAATTTTGAACAGGGGGCTAATAATTATGACCTTAACCGTAGATGATCCTTATTCATTTTAGTTTTCTCGTGAATCAGTTTGTATTTATATTAGTTTTTTTGTTTGGATTTCACTATCAGTTATTAAATCTATATTCTGCATTCAGACACTTACGTAATCAAGATCGACTGGTTCTCACGATCTGTATGAATGATTAGGAAATTTGTTATTTTGTATTTCAAAAACAAGTATACTTTTCATTCAAAATATAAATATTGCGTGTCTAGCAATTTTAGAGAAGTAATATGTGAAATATTTGAAAATGATACGTGTTTCATAAAATGACACAATTTCTTTTATTTTGGGTTATTCATACCTGTAAGCATGAACTGAAAGGCACTGTCAGAGATGGAGAAGATGTGGGGAGGAGCTTCAATTCTCTTCTTGCCCCTGTAGCCGGCCACAACAATAGCATCGTACACTGGGAGCCACTTGTAGGGGTTCACAGTGACACAGAACAGCCCGGAGTAGGTCTGCAATACAGCAAGTAAACATTTATTCATACATGTACATATTTTTATATGATAGGATGCATCAAACTGATTTAAAAGAAAAACGTACGTAGATCATCCATGCTGCGTAACGCTCTTTGAGGTTGTACAGCACAGCGGGCTCATTGAGGTGGGTCATCATGGCCATGTCCTCAATTTTATCGAACTTTGGAGGGTTCATGGGGTGAATGTCATCCTCCTTAACTGTGATGGTCTGGTTTAAAGAGACACAGTGATTTTTCCAAAAGTGCAAGTAAAGCAACTTTCAAAAAGAATAACCTAAAAATAAAAATAAATATATTGATTGCTTTATGTGCAAAACTAGTAGCAGTTATCTTTATCACAATTCTAATGAAAAAAATATTACAAGAAAAGCTTAATATTTTTGTGCTGATGATCCTTAATCATAAGCACAAATTAACATTTAGTAATTTAGTAATTTAGTAATTAACATTGTATCATTAATCATATATACTGATAAATTCCCAGTGCCTGAAATAGGGCAGCTTAGTGTAGAGCTAAAGTTTAAGAAAATATTAAGAAAAGCTTAATATTTTTGTGCTGATGATCCTTAATAAATCTGTTAGATACACAGTCGTACTTACTTGCCCACACAAAGTCTTAACAGTGGCTTTGCCCCCCTCTCTACTTTGAAGAACCCCTTTGAGGTACATCTCCTTCGGTTCAGCCACAAAGTAGGCTGTATTTGCATCAAAGGGTTTGTTCTGGGCTTCAGTTCTCTCTTTTTCTGGCTGCCGGAGGTAAATGGCTGCCGGGCCAAAACACTCCATATCCTCGTCTCCATTCATGATGGTGGTTCGCTGAAATTAGTGATGCTTTTAAAAAATTACCATGTGGAATCATCCTTACAGTGTGTGGTTCCACACTCATCATTGCACTTCATGAGGAAAGTGCCAAATAAAACAGTGAAATAACTGAATAACAATAATAATGTTGACTAATAGATTGAATATGTTTGACATTAATAAAGCGTGTTATAACAATCTGGGTTTGTAAAGTATGTGCTATATCGGAAACATTTGTTTTCACACATATTTAATAATTATTTATCTCCTTTAATTAAGGCCAGCAGAGAAAGACAGAAGGTGGAAATCTGCAAAGGAAACTTTTAACATTTGATTGAATTTTTAACTGATTTTTGTGAAACTGATTTTTAAGTCCAGTCAATGCTGATACAACGCGACCAATGTGTTCCTGGAAAAACTTTGCATTCACTAAAATTGCATTCTAAAATACACATATCCAATGGGAAAAATAGGGTTAGAGGAATGTAACTCTGAAACTTAGTAACTTACGCCAAATTAAATGAATTAAATGAAAACAGTGTGGCCATTAATGAAATTACATGCATTTTAAATAAGTAATATTAATTAATTAATTAATTAATTAAATTTATCATAAACATAAACATGGTTCTTATGAGTATCTGGAGAACTGCTTAGAAACCACTTCAACTGAACATGCCGAACTTGCATTTGATCAGATTCACACTTTGATGTCACACATTATGGCAGGACTGACTCTACTAAAAAACTTGCCAAATATTGTTACATTTTGTTCTTTGCTTTCAACAATTGTATATAAACATACATTTAAATGGAATTTGAATATCAATTTTATTTTAAAGTTTATTGTAAAGCATCAGTTAAATATAACTTTTTGTAAAAACGTTCACTTACCTTTGCTGTGTCACTGTCAACCCTTGTTGAAGTCCAAGGCAGTTTATTTTATAGAGAAATTTAAACTCATCAGAAATAACCTTCTCTATTTGGTCATGTGTTCTTGCTATGTGACCAATTACCTGACACTAGTAATTAAAGTATTTTTAACATGTAGTTTGATAGAGAGATTTAGAAAAGCATATATATGCCGTGTGTGTGTGTGTGTGTGTATATATATATATATATAGTATATATATATATATATATATATATATATATATATATATATATATATTGTATATAGATATGTACAAGTTATATAGATATGTACAAGTTATGGCTCAGAATTGAATACATCATGAATACAAGTACTAGTATTATCATAACTTTAGTTCTAATTAATGAGCATAGGGTTTTACTGAAAGATTACACAAATGTCAGAGGTATAAATTACAGGATTCTTAATAGTGTTTAGTGTCAGACTGGAGTGATTTGCTTTTACTTGTCAATGGCTATCCAGGTGCAGGGAAAACTTTGTTTGTAGTATGTAATGTTATGCTCCAGCTCAAACACAAATTGTGCAGTTCTAAATTAGAAATATAAATTCATGTCTGATTGATAGTATATTGATGGCATTTTTTGGAGGTTATATGAAAAACTTATTTCATACATTTTTGGGGATTACCTTACTGTTATTAAATGGGTGACATCTAAAAGACCTTAGGTGATAAATTGATCTATAATGGATTTTATGAAGACCACATAAAATATTTAAAATAATGCAAAGCATAACTATAGCAGGCATTTCACTGATGCATTCATATTACCTTACATCATGCAAAATGATATTCATGTATCTTTCTTTTTACCATAAATGCAGACAACAGCCATATTTAACACCAATTGGTCGTAGCACCCCAAATTTGCAGGTCTCTGATACTCAGTTCATCAGCATTGAGCAGTAGAGGGTCGTGATTTGGTTTTGCAAGTTTTCTTTTATGAATCCTTATTTAGCCCTTTCTGTTGACTAGCATCCCATGCAGGGGGCATCCCCCAGCCACTCACCCCCCCCTTGGACTAGTAGAAAAGGCTGGAATATTAGTGGGCCGAAGTCTTCTTTCATGTTTCTCCACGTATGGGCATGGCAGATGACAGCTGCAGCAACTCTGAACCCTTGAGTAATGCTAATTCTAACAGTAAAATATTTAGGTGTATACAGGTTCCTGGGTTCGTTTAAGCTGTTTGAATAGCAGAGCTAAGGCAGCTTCATTTCTGTCCATTTTGGCCTAGAGGCATGATGGTCTGTAACAAGTTGATTATAGTTCTTGTCTCTCCCAATTTCAGATTTGCAACACTGAGCATTTCTGTGACTGTCCAAAGAAGTAGGATTCAACTGTATTGCAAATTAATTCTCTTAGTTATTTTGTATCATGCTTTGCAATAATGAGATTTATTCAATAGAATCAGTATATAATATTTTTTGTTTTATCCGAAATTAACATTGTATCATTAATCATATATACTGATAAATGATATAGTATGAGATGAATTATGCGATTCTATTGTTGTGACTAAGATGACACATGGAATTCTGGTAAATGAATTGGTTACAAATCCTCTCTTCTTGACTTTACCTTCTGGGATATGTGCCATTTTTGGGAGACAGAATTGTTGTCTGTAGGGATGAAACACTTTAATACACTGTGGATAATGTCCATCTAGGTTATTCAGGCAAGAAAATTCCCAGTGCCTGAAATAGGGCAGCTTAGTGTAGAGCTAAAGTTACTGAACTTCCTCCAAGTAACCTCATGTATTCACTATGTAGCCAACAAAGGATCAAATTATGCCATTTAAATTCTAGATATATGATGTAGTAAAACTCATTTTTCAATGGTAAAGGTGATATCATATTGGCCATAGCAGATTAGGCATTAAAAATGAAAAGGGTAGTTCTGACCGGACTCCCCACAGCGATTCAAACGTACCTACTCAGCGCACAAGCACTCCATCACAACACTTATGACAGATATCAGGTTATATATTTAATAAAATGTGATACTTGATATAGTAACCGTAAGACAGCGTTCTCATTTGGATTAAATGCAAAAATAGACACTTGGTTTTATTGTGAAGCTAGCTTCTGACCATACTTTTATATCTAATTGGTCTTGAGATTCTTTCCCTTCACAAAAGTCAGGCGCAATGCAGTAGGCTTGAAAATGATTATCAGCCTTACTGACTATCATCTTTGTTGCTTAAATAAGGTATTTGACAACAATTTTTTAAATTTGTAGTTATCAGTTTGGTATTTTAACTAATAATATAAATGCATGCTTATATTTGTGCTATATTTATAATATTCTGCTGGTTTGAACTTTTGCTCCATTATTTTTAATTAATAATGATTAATCTGTTGTACCTTAGGTTAGGCTTAATGTAAAATATGCCCTTTTTTTAAACAAAAATCTGCCAAGATTATTTATAGTTTTTAATATATGCATTCTCTGCAAAATTCTCATTAAAGTTTCAAAGATCATAATCACATATTTAAATTTGCACTTATTATTCAATACAAACATACTCCCAAAAAAGCCTTGGACACCCTGTTTAATGTCTTGTGAAGTTAAATCTGAATAAATCATTTTTATTATGTGCTGAGTACTAATTTAGTTCTGAGCTTATAAATTAATCAAAAAATCTCAGTGGGATTGTTAAAAAGCATTGTCAGAAAGGTATATACAGTACATGTTTTTACAACTGGAGAGATTGAAGAACCTCTGACATGTTTTATCAGTCTACAAATAGACAAAATAAACATTACATATTGATTACAAAAAGACAGAAATGCTGGGTTTAATCCTTATATTTGGTATGTAACTCAACAGACCATAGCTGGTTTTTTATGTTCTTCTGCAAGTACTAAGCAGACAAAAATTATTAACTGACCACAATCAGTAACCATGCATTTTTGTATTAAAATAATAGAGATTTTAATAGTACATAAATATGGTGAAATGCATGCAAATACAAAAGAGTTGATCATTCAGTTGATTCTTAAGGTTGGACTTCAGTTTTTGTTTACAGGCTGGAAATTACATTTTAATAAGTGGACTCTGAGCTGTTGTATGTCTTGCTGTAATTATAAATGCTGTAGCTTTAAAACTAACATTACGTGGGAGTTTTGTTGATTTTTCCAATTACTTCATATGAACATTATTTGCCTTTTCACATAATTCACAACATCCATCTATTTCCTGAAACCACTTACCCTGTTTAGGGTCATGGGGGTCCGGAGCCTTTGGGTGCAAGGCAAGGAACAACCCAGGATGGGGCACCAACCCATCACAGGGCACATTCACACCCCATTCCCTCAAACACACACACCTGTGGGCAATTTGGTAACTTCAGTCAGCCTCAGCATGTTTTTGGCAAAAGCAGAGTACCTGAAGGAAACCCCATGACATCATGGGGAGAACTTGCAAACTCCACACAGACGGAACCCTGGCAGATACTTGAACCCAGGTCCCAGAGGGGTGAGGTGACAGTGCTAACCACTGCACCACCATGCTGTCCCTTTTTCTGATGTTTTTCAATGATTTCATTTCAACATACTATAAATGTTTTAAAATGGGATTGAAGGAGAATTTAAAGAGGATGTAATAGTGTGTAAAGAAATTTACTCATGAAAATATTTTTTCCAAGTAATAGAATACCATAAACCTGAATGGAAGACTATATTGATAGTATATTTGAAAAGTGTATTTGTATGATGAAATTCATGTGTACAATATGTATGAATGGCCATCTTTTTTTCCAAGAGAAATCCAGGTTGCGGGTTATCCTCCTGCTTCCTGCACCAACGCGGCCTTAAAAATTTGGAGCCAGGGCTGGACTGGCCATCTGGCATACCAGGCAATGCCTGGTGGGCCGACGCATATTTTTGGCCCGGCCCGGGGCCCTCCCCTGGATCGTAGAGGCCACTCGATTATACTAAATACATATAATATTATACTAACATAATTTCTCTAAAGCTCTTGACAGCTAAATTATACTGTTTATACCTCATCTGTCACTTGGTATTTTATATATCTCTTATTTTTGTTATTCATTCTTATTATGGTGGGTGTATGGTGTAATTTTTTTAATAAAAAAGGAAAATCTGTAAAATCCCTACAATAAACTTAAAATATAATACATAGTAATGTTTTGAAGTCAAACTAAGCTGTTCCTTTTGTATTTAATGGTTTTCCGGATTTGCAAAAAACTGCAATGCATGATGGGTAGGATCTAAAGGTTAACTAACGCCCTCATCCGTCTGACGAATGTTGCGTATGTTGGTCCAGAAAGTAATTCAATTTCACCATGTAGGCTGCGTTCTTAAAAACAGCTTTTTGTTGGATATGGCCCGATTATATGTCGTGGACCTTTTAATTTGTTTGTTTGCAGTTTCGCCAGGTAGGCTACCTTCTTTAAACTGCGTTTTGTTAGACTACATATTATGGGATGTTGTATTGTAGTCTTTGTAAATATGTATATTGTTTAGCCTAACCCAGCCACTTAAGGGAACAGGCCAGCTCAACTAGGTGCGTGTGATTGGACAAAAAAAAAAACATTATTCCAGTTAATTAAATAACAACTTAATTAGTACAACATGTGTGATTCATTTATTGCTGTTCTTTTTTAAGGATATTTATTTATTTATTTATTTATTTATTTATATATATACATGCAGTGTATTCTATACTATACACCAGGGGCCTATACTACGAAACGTGGTTACTGGCTTACCGGGGTAACTTGTTGAATCTAAGGTAGTCTTGGCAAAATGTAAGTGAGCGAATACGAAGTCCATTTAAACTGTGGTACCTTAAATCCAACAATTACCCCGATAAGCCAGTAACCGCGCTTCGTAGTACAGGCCACAAGGCTCTTCAAATCTGGACCTTGATTCCAAATCCAGGCCTTGTTTTCAGTTCTCCCAGGTCATTTAATAATTACTGACTCTGAATGGTCAGAGGCTTCACATCTTGCTCACAGGTAAAGGAAGGCTGGAAAACCAGCAGTGCTTGGACCTCGAGGACCGTGATTTGAATAATAGGGCTCTACACAGTGGTCATCTTATATGAAATATTCTGTCATGCCCAGCTCTGTCACGCCCAGCTTCGTGCCTGTCTGTCCTTTAGTGACCATTAAAACCCGTTTACCCGTCTATCCGGCTGATCTCGCCTGCTTCCCGGCTCGCCTGCCTGCCGAACGTGACATAATAACAGATCTCCCCAAAGACTCACCGCGGCAGGATGAGGACCTATGTCTCGTCCTACTGCACAAGGTGTGTTACTGGCGAAAGCTGCCGGAGATCCGAGAGGATCCCATCTTACTCGCCCTGGCGGAGAAGAGCTGGACCCTACTACAGTAGGTAACCCCACGCACAGAAGCGCACGCAATGGCGGAAGTGCACGTGCTTTTGCAGCAGTTCGTCCGCGAATGGGAGGAGAAGCGGCAGTCGCCGCTCTCCTTCTCAGAGGCAACCCCGCCTCTACCGACCTGCCCCAGCCGGCGAAAGAAGAAGAGGCGCAGGGAAAAAGGAAAGGAAGAAGCCCCGTGGCTCGGTGGCTGCCCGCGGGTCCTGCGGTGCCGGCTCGGTGGTCGCCTCCGGGTCCCCCCCGGTGCCTAGGTGCCGGTCTTCGGTCCTGCCTCCGGCTCTGTGTCGGCCTCCTCCGGGTCCCCCTGCTTTGGCTTGGCGTCGGACGGCGCCTTCCCCGGCTCCAGCTATGCCTTCGCCTGCTGCGGCTTCCCCCTCCTGCCTGCCTGCGCCAGTGTTCCCTCCGTGTCCCCTCCGTCACTCCCTCAACGCGTCCCCTTGGCCCCTGTGTGGTCCCCTGCGGCTCCTGCCTCCCTCTCGCCTGCGGCCCCTCCGGCCGCCGCCCGTCTGGGCTCCCTCGGGCTCCCCTTTGTCCTCCGTCCCTTCCTGTCTGGTCTCTCTGGTCTGCTCCTCGTCCCTTTATCCCTCCTATTCCTGCTCCTTCTCCTCCTGTTCCTTTTGCTCCACCTGTGGGTGTTTCCCCTGTGTCTCCCTTCCAGGTCTGTCTGTCCGCGTTCCCAGTCCTTTGTCAGGTTTTGTCTTGGTTTCTGCCCCTCTGCTTGTTTTCTGTTTCTGTTTTGTTTCCTGTGCCACGGTGATGTCTTGGTTTCTGCCCCTCTGCTTGTTTTCTGTTTCTGTTTTGTTTCCTGTGCCACGGTGATGTCTTGGTTTCTGCCCCTCTGCTTGTTTTCTGTTTCTGTTTTGTTTCCTGTGCCACGGTGATGTCTTGGTTTTTGATTTTCAG